TCCCCCGAGGATTCTAGTAGCAGCGAGGGTGTCCATACCCCATCCACCGCATCGCTTGATTATCACCCCGCGATTGTACACAGCAGCGGATATATCGAATCTAATGACTCCTCCGATCACCCTCCACCGGTAGGAACTCCTGTTCAAACAGACGGCTATCGCCCCGGTTACTAATCCCGTCATAGATCTGTGGCCGTCAATCCACCCACGCGGACGGCTACGAAGCCCATAATGACCGTGAGCCCAGGTCCGACGTCTTCTCGGACTCTGCTGCCCAAAATTCGGGCATGGGTCGCTTGGAGGCTCTTGTCGCCGTCGCCACAAGCGAGAACAAAGGAGCAGCTAAGCTATTTCTGTAAATTGTCTGGTAAAAACCCATTCCACGCCATTATACACCATTATACATATGAAAGTCATGTTCACTTCCTGCAACTAGCTGGAGAGCGATTATCATATACTTGGTATTCCCACTATCTCATACACCCGGCCACATCAACAATCAACCACTCTTTCCGCCCACTCTACTTCCAATCCTCAGCCCGTTGGCTTTTCTCGGACTTTCCAATTATTTCCTACTTCACTCTACATATTTCGGGGATTCTCATACTTGCCATCTTATGATAGTGAAGCCCTTGATGAACTGACGACTTTGATGACGACTGATACACGACTGGGAGCCATAGCCCATCTTTCTTTTACTTGTGTTCGGGAGTCTTATTGTGTTTATGACCTTTTTTTTTTTTTTGAATGATTCGGGATGGCAATCTTTTTTGGATGAGTTCTTAATGAGCTGCATGTCCTGGCGTTTGCATGGGAAGTTTTGTATGGATGGAGTCCTGTGCATGACGATACCCTGTCTATCGGTCATTTGGTTCCTCTTTCAATTTCGGTGGTCTGCGGTATGACTTCAATGTTGCATTTCATTCTCTGCCTTCTCCATGGACTCTTCATCCCTCCATCTTCGAGTCCCTTCCTTCTCTCTACCTTACCTCGCCTTCTCGTTTCGTTTTGTGTCTTACTATATTTTTTTTGGGGTGGATCGGGTCTGATGCTTTAACGGACTACAATCATGAGGACTTTTGATATATGTTATGATCTGAATATGACTGGAATGCATTGAGACGGCCTCTTAGTCACGAGTTCACATGTAAATATGTATAAAAAAAACGTTTAAAATGTATACAAACATAAGAGCTCGACCAGACCATTGGGGCGGCTCTTAAGACTGCACAAGATCGGAACTAGTATAGCACATGTATAATAGCACATGTGGAATTAGGTCTAGAAGTCATGCTCATGTAGAAACCCCAGAACCGGAATGAGGCAGCGATGACTTGCAGGTGACGTCGACGGGAAAATTAGCTTTCCAGTCTCCACTTGCAACCCTTTCGATGAACTGTTGAAGATTGTAGACATTTAGGAATTGTGACTGGAATACTTATCTATAAAAAATTTAATAGTCAATTAATAGCTCAAAAGTAACACAATAGCATTTGAGAGGGGGAAAAAAAGAAATCAAATCAAACCAAATCAAAGCGTAGAGGCAAGTTCTAGTACATGCGGACAAGCTGGAACACGACGTCATAGCTGTCTTTCTTGGAAGGCTATTTCCCCAGTCTCGAGAATGACCTATAAAACCAGGGATACTTCGACCTGCCACCTCCAGCATTTACTTCAATTACACCCTCTACATCTGTCCCTCCCACCACCACACCACCACACACCACACATCATGTCGAAGAGCCGCGTTCCTATGTTCCTGGGTCTCGCTGCGGCGGGCGCAGGCGGATACTACCTTTACTCTGCGGGCGGCAGCCCCTCAGCAGCAAAGCACCAAATGAAGAGTACGTCCACTGACAAGCTCCAACGCCATTGAACTACCTCGGGACATGAAGCTAACTCTCCTCTTCTACCCCAGTTGACGCTGAAAAGGCACGCGAGAAGCTCCCAGGTAAAGACAACGCCGAGAAGTACGGCAAGGATTTCGGCAAGGAAGCCGGTGCCAATGTCGACGATGCTGTAAGTCTATCCTATTCTTGGTGCTACCCAAGACCCGCCCTCGATGCTCGATCCTCGCCCCACCAACCACAAAGTGGAGATAATGTGACATGTCATACTAACGATCCGATTCTAGATTGCCAAGGCCCGTGCTGAAGTCCAGGAGGGCAAGGACAAGCTTGAGGAGCTCCGCGGTGAAGCAAAGAGCAAGTTCAATGCTAGTCGGGAAAAGGTCAACAGCAGTGTTGATCAGATCGATCGCGATGTCGAGCAAAAGGCTGCTGAAGCCAAGGGGGCCGTCTCTGGCTGGCTCGGTGGCAAGAAATAAACTCTTTTCGCCCTCAGGAGCCTCGACGATTTAATGTTATGATTATATTACGGCGCTGGTCGGTTCGAGAATATCACGAAGAATTCAATGTCTATATGAAACTTATCCATGTTTCTTGTAAATCTCATTGTAGTTGGGGTGAATGTGTGCCAAGTATTCAATGCGCCCGGTATTGGCTGGTCTGTCCAGGGCGCGACATGAAACTCAAGTACTCTGTATGCATTGTCAAATCGTATCTCGATTTTAAAGGCCGATTTGGAATTGATTCCCTACCATATGTTGTACATTAGCATCGGACATCTTATTCGCCTGAAGAAATGTCCAGGCGCTGAGCTTGGACACAGTGACATTCCAATGGCCGGAGTATTACCGTAGTGACGAGATTGCCCTTGGAGATCTGTCATATTATATACCGAATCATTTTTCTGGAATTTATTATATCAAGACTTCTCTCTCTATTTTCAAAGTGTTATAGTCCGTACTTGAATTGAAGTTCTTATAGTTCCCGCTCACGCGTTGCCATTTAACCCGAAACGGCTAGTGCTAGTTTTTCAACGCGCCCTCGAACGCGTCTTCTCCCTTGTACCTTCTCTGACATCTCCCACTTCCCAATTTCCACTTTCTGCACTTTCCCACATTTTGTTCGCTTTAATATCACGGTATCTCTTACCTTGTCTATTATAATACAGTTGTATCCATCGCCCTTTCTTCATTTATTATCCCTCGACCGGCAAAAAATTTTCAGCAGCCGCGATGCCGCGCACTTCCCGGTCAAGCTGCGTTGCCCAGCCAGCCATTCAAGCCTTCACTCGGGCAACCAAAGCTGGCATCACTCCGCAACTACCTGGAAAGAAGATTACGTCTCTTCCGGTCTCGCCTTCCAAGAAACGCAAACTGCAGGAACTCGAAAACTTCGACAACGGCAGCAGACAGACGCCAATTGAGGAGGAAGGGACGCCCTCGAAAACTTTGCGACTGAATGAATTATCCGTTTCCTCACCCCATAGCGGCCACTATGTCTCGCCCAAGAAAGCTTCGCCGGCGAAGACCCCGAGTCGGACCCCGAGTCGACGGATTGCCCCTGTTAAGAACGCACCCTTGACACCCGCGACCCCTTCGAAGCAACGAACTCTGAACTTTGAAAAAGTCATTCCAGTGCACGAGGAAACCCCCGCTATCGAACGGCCTGCATTCTTCAACGATATTCTAAACCTTCACTCCTCCTTTGTGCAGGCTTTTTCAATTCACATGGCACACAATGGCGCAAATACCCCTGCCGACCTCCGAGAATTCCTTGGCAGCGTGACCCGCCTCTGGAATAAGCGCAAGGTGCAGATGAAGGACTTGCAGCGCCTTGTCTGGGTCTGGGAACAGAGTTCGAAAGCGAAACACATTTCATATCGTCTGGCAAATTATGGACTCGGCAAAATCTGCATGGAACGCACCGTACAGATCAATGTGCAACCTCCAGCCTTGCAGGACTCTTTTGAAGAAACATTGGACTTGCTTTGGGAAAAAGCCCCAGAGGCACTTCACAATGCTAACGAGGAAGACCAAGCAGCTCTGTTCATCGAGTCTCTCGGTCTCTCCACTGTCCACGAGTCGCTCACTCCTTTCACGGTTTTCCAGAAAGGCCAGCAACGACTCCAGGATCTCAAGGGCGGTCTCCTCCGCTTGAAAGCCGAGAGAATGCGCTCAGAGTCAGCAGAAACGACTCCCCTGGAGCGGACAGCAACCATCAGCCGCCGCCAAGGCCTGCTGGATCGCATTAAGAATAAGGAGCTACGCCAGTCCAAGCTTCCTCCCCCACCTGCTAAGAAAGATCTCGTGCGATGTGCAGCCGCCGATCGGGCGGAAGAGGTAGCTGGTGTTCTGGCTCTGTTGCGCCCCGCTGGGTATGTGGGAAATGGCATCAAAGCCATGCTTGCAGCCCAACGCAAGCCCTTTAAGCTCGATGTGATGGTCGAGCATGTCCGTGACTCTGTCCGCAGCGAGTTTCCCCGTGAGGAGGTGGAGATGTGTCTTGAGATTCTGTCGGATAAAAAGGTGGCTGGTGACTGGATCAGTATGGTTACTGTTGGCCAGATGAAGTCTGTCGTGTTGAAGTCTTGCAAAGATGTCTCTGCCAAAGACATCGGGGTGAGAGCTGCCCAGCTGAGGGCTGACTGGGAGAAGTCTGCATCTTGTGTGCAGACTCCTCTCTTGTGATTTACGTTTTTGGCGTGGTTTGTTTTCTTTGTTGGATACCTCACATCCGCAGGGCTGTTCTGCTCGCGGTCTTGCATCAGCGCTCGATACCCTGTACTTTATTACATGTCTTTTTAGCATTAAACATAACCTTAGGTGGCACTTAACAATTAGGTCCTCGGACACCCAATCAATCATAATACAAGCAAATTTTCTGAAAATGGATGTTTTATGGATTCTATTAAAAAAACACCTTCAACTAAGCTCTCAGATAAATTTAGATACCTTATTGACTGAGCCCTACGATTCCGGCAATGGCCCTTGCGAATTCCACAAATCTGCTCGCTAGGCGCTACGCAAGTCCGCAACTACTCTACTTCCATCTCAGAACATTGGGATACCATACCTATGGAGCTCAAAGACGTCAATGTTTGCAACATCAGAGTCATTCATACCCACTCCCACTCCGGGCTGTCAATGTCAAAACATGGCTCCCTCTCTCGGGCTGGAACGGAAGGTTTCAAGCCCCAAGTGGCAGAGAATTGGTAACTGGCTTCACCGACGGTTTGCTCGAGCTTCCCAAGGATACACAGTCAGTGTTACCGATGGACATAGCCCCGATAGCAAGATAAAGGACCAGGCTCTAAGGGGAAATGGCTCGGTGAACTAGCCCTGGCTCTAGCTTCTGATGAATATATAGAGCAATGTTGTATCGTCCTAGCAGATATAGAGAAATTTGATGAAACACCGTTACTCCTCATAGTCAGTGCCTTAAATCTTAATCCTTTCTACCCCATAAATTATGCCAAATTGATTACATGTTACAGACAAAGAAAATAAAATCATATAAGGAAAGCCTAAAACCGTAGAGGGACTACACTCTGTCAACCTGAGGATTACTGTCCAGGTTCATTTGCTTTAGGGCACGCCAGTAGCCATACTGTTTTATAACTTCCTTCCATCGACTTGTAATGTTTACTCCCCAGGTTTCTCATAATGTGGAGGTGCTCCACGCCAAGAGATATGTACGAGGTCGTGCTAACTTCAGTGGCGTTTCATTGGTATTTGCACCAGTGAAATCGCTGTGTCGATTTGGTCAACTCCCGATAAGCCCTTCCGCAAGATAACCAGATGCTTGGACCCCTTAGATTATGACTGCAGGCCCACGGGATACGGTGCTCGGATCCACTCCCCGGATTTCCCCAACATTTGATATAGATCTACTCGGTTGCTGCGGTTCTCGAACACGAGAATGCGACTAGTATAATGCTGATGAGATAAGCCAGACATTCTCAGATGCATAGGATCTTGCAGACTGCTAAATCATGAAATAGAAAAACAGCTCATAGCACCCGGGTATTGGCTATAAGCAGAGAACAAAGAGAGGAGCGCCAAGTCAGCTATATCTTTTATTGCCACGACTTATCTCTTACCTTCCGCATTCAACTACCGGGTCTAGGCGCTCCATGAGATCAGCCGAGCACAGTTTCCGTTCATATATTCGGCAAGGTCCACCGGCATGTACCCTGTAAGCCCCAGGAGATCCATAAGTATTCGAGCTGTCAGTTTGATTCAGGGATCTTCAGAATCCGGGGTAATTATTCTTCAATCTTTATTCTGGATCCAACTGCGAGGTGTTGTAACATGGCTTCAACCCTAACTCCGGCTACCCTCATAGCCGATGAGAAGGGCTATTCCCACCACGAGGATATGATTCTGCAATCCGCAGATATAACAGCAGAACGCGGGCACGCTGCAACGGACCAGTATGGTCGCGCACTGGTGGAACTTGATCGCTCAGCTGAACGACGACTGCGAATGAAGATCGACTTATATATTGTGCCCACCGTGGCGCTGCTATATCTATTCTGTTTCATTGACCGCGCAAATATTGGTATGTTAATGCAACCCCTTATCCTCTCGCCAACTCAAGCGATCACCTTTGCTTTTTCTAAGTCACTGACCACCTGCTCGCACATCAGGAAATGCCAAGTTGGCCGGCTTCGAGAAAGACCTGAAACTAAAAGGCAACGATTACAACAAGGTCTTGTCCGTCTTCTACATTTCATACATCATTTTCGAGGTGCCATGTAATATTATCTGCAAGTGGATGGGCCCTGGCTGGTTCCTTCCATTGACCACCCTGCTTTTCGGTGTTTGCTCCCTTGGGACCGCCTTCGTCCACGATATTCAGTCTGCATCGGGGGTGCGATTCGTGCTAGGGGTTTTCGAGGCAGGAATGATGCCGGGTATTGCTTATTACCTGTCGCGATGGTATCGACGCAGTGAGCTAGCGTTCCGCATCTCGCTCTACATTGTCATGGCTCCGCTGGCAGGCGCATTTGGAGGTCTGTTGGCCTCGGCTATTCTGAAACTCGACCATTTCGGTGGTCTGAAGACCTGGCGCATGATATTTGCCATTGAAGGCATCATCACTATCGCCCTTGGTCTCATTGCCTTCTTCACGCTGACGGATCGCCCCGAGACAGCCCGCTGGCTGAACCAGGAAGAGAAGGACCTGGCGATTACACGCCTCAAGTCTGAGCGTGTGTCTACGACAGAAGTCCTGGACAAGATGGACATCGCGAAGATGAAACGGGGAATTCTCAGCCCAGTCACGCTTGGAACTGCCTTTATCTTCCTCCTCGACAATATTACCGTGCAGGGTCTTGCATTCTTTGCTCCCACCATCGTGCGCACTATTTACCCAGAGAACAGTGTAGTATCTCAACAGCTGCATACAGTGCCTCCATACGTTGTGGGTTCATTCATTACCGTGCTCCTCCCCTTACTGAGCGGAATATATGACCGCCGCATGATCTACTTTGTTCTCTGTCCTCCTCTGATGATGGTGGGTTATATCATGTTCTTGGTTAGCAAGGACTCCATGGTGCGCTACGGTGCAACCTTCCTCATAGCCAGTGGTGCCTTTGTCTTTGGAGCCCTCTGCAACGCGCATGTCTCTAATAATGTAGTGTCGGATACGGCACGTTCCAGTGCCATCGGCATCAATGTCATGCTGGGTAATATCGGTGGACTAATCTCTACTTGGTCGTTCCTTCCTTTTGATAGCCCTGACTACCATATCGGAAACGGATTGAACCTGGCGACGTCGTCTTTGATGTTGATCCTGGGTGCGTTGATGTGGCTGTGGATGAAATGGGACAACAAAAAGCGAGACAAGGCGGATATCGATCAGGCTCTGGCTGGGATGTCGCAGAAGGAAATCCAGGACTTGGATTGGCGCAACCCAGCTTTCCGGTGGCGGACATAGGAAACGAATGGGCCAGACAGAATGCTCTGAGAATGAACCTACAGTAGCCATAACATCTATAATATATTCATTCGTGATAGCACTTCAATGATAGCTCTTTGTCTTTCCTCATGTCGTGTTAAATCTGGTTAGAATATCTACCTTGGAAAGTGTCAAAAGAGGCCAATAAGACTCATCAGAAAATAAATAGTCACACATTGCCCTGCCTGGAAAATATTAAGATTATTTAGAGTGGGAGACCTAAAATGGTGACAAAGGCGTTTTTGGCCTCCCATTCACCGTATAATTACTGGAATATAGTAAGAAAAATGCTCAAGATGTGCAAAACGACTCTGCAATGTATACAATTTGACAAAGAATAGTTGGCTTATGCAGCCTTGTCAAGTCTTTTGAGTAGTCTTTTTAGATGTCATTTTAGATGCATCTCCTTGGATGCAATCTTTTTTATAGATATTTCTTCCCTTTCTTAGTACTTCAAATATAGACCGTAAGGACGGCTTGAAATGTGCAAACTGATTTTTTCCATGTATAACATTTGATTAACCATCGAAATTGATAAAGAAACCTCTTTGAACCCCTGGCCGGAGATCCTGGGCACTTAACGCGCGACGCGTGCACGGACCATGCGGATTCAGCGCGTCGAATTGGACTCGTCCAAACCGCCTTGATACCAACATTTGCATTGTCCTTTGCTGCATTTCTCTTCACATCAACCGACACCATGTCTTCTCGACCTGACTTGAAGGTATGAATTGAAATATCGATTCCCCAAACCCACCAATCCAGCATTCACTAACTCAAACTGAATTCACACAGGTCGACGACGAAGTCGGCTTCATTGGCTTCTTCCGTGGCCTCCCTAAACCAGATAATAATGAAACTATTCGCGTATTTGACCGAGGCGATTGGTACTCATCTCACGGTGCCGATGCCGAATTCATCGCACGCACCGTCTACAAAACAACCTCCGTGCTCCGCAACCTTGGCCGCAGCGAAACAGGCGGCCTCCCCTCGGTCACGATGAGCGTCACGGTCTTCCGAAACTTCCTCCGCGAAGCCCTCTTTCGATTGAACAAGCGTATCGAGATTTTCGCCTCGGCCGGCTCGGGCAAGAGCAACTGGAAGCTGGCGAAGCAAGCCAGTCCTGGTAACCTGCAAGACGTGGAAGAAGAGCTCGGCAGCGTGGGCGCGTTGTCAATGGATTCTGCGCCTATTATTCTCGCCGTTAAGATTTCCGCTCGCGCAGCGGAGGCCCGGAATGTGGGTGTGTGCTTTGCTGATGCGAGCGTGCGCGAGCTGGGCGTCAGTGAATTCCTCGATAACGATATCTACTCCAATCTCGAGTCTTTGGTAATCCAGCTTGGTGTGAAAGAGTGTCTTGTGACCATGGATGTGGCTCGCAAGGACGTCGAGCTGGCGAAGATCAGGGCTATTGCGGATAGCTGTGGGATTGCGATCTCTGAGCGACCTGTTGCCGACTTTGGTGTTAAGGATATCGAGCAGGATCTCACGAGATTGTTGAGGGATGAACGGTCTGCCGGTACGCTGCCTCAGACGGAGCTGAAACTGGCTATGGGGTCTGCGTCGGCGCTGATCAAGTATCTTAATGTCTTGACTGATCCCACCAACTTTGGCCAGTACCAGCTCTACCAACATGATCTGTCGCAGTACATGAAGCTTGATGCCTCGGCGCTTCGGGCGCTGAATCTTATGCCCGGTCCGCGGGACGGGGCTAAGAGTATGAGCTTGTTCGGTTTGCTGAATCACTGCAAGACGCCTGTGGGTAGTCGTTTGTTGGCCCAATGGTTGAAGCAGCCTTTGATGGATCTAGCTGCGATCGAACAACGCCAGCAGCTGGTGGAGGCGTTTGTTGTTAACACTGAACTGCGTCAGACTATGCAGGAGGAACATTTGCGTTCCATTCCGGATCTGTACCGCTTGGCTAAGCGTTTCCAGCGGAAACAGGCCAACTTGGAGGATGTTGTCAGAGTATACCAGGTTGCCATTCGTCTGCCTGGGTTTGTGAGCGCGCTGAATGATGTTATGGATGAGCAGTACCAAACCCCTCTAGAGACAGAATACACGTCTAAGCTCCGCGGCTATTCCGACAGCCTGGCCATGCTTGAAGAGATGGTTGAAACAACGGTTGATCTTGCTGCTCTGGAGAATCACGAATTCATCATTAAGCCCGAGTTCGATGACGGCTTGCGAGTCATTAGGAAGAAGCTGGACAAACTACGATACGACATGGATATGGAACACCGCCGAGTTTCAAAGGATTTGAATCAAGACATGGAGAAAAAGCTCTTCATGGAGAATCATCGTGTGCACGGTTGGTGCTTCCGTCTCACTCGAAATGAGGCGGGCTGCATTCGCAATAAAAAAGAGTACCAGGAGTGTTCGACGCAGAAGAATGGCGTATACTTCACCACATCCAACATGCAGTCCCTTCGCCGAGAGCATGATCAACTGTCGTCGAACTACAACCGAACCCAGACCGGTCTGGTCAACGAGGTCGTCAACGTTGCCGCTTCGTATTGCCCAGTTTTGGAGCAACTCGCTGGTGTACTGGCCCACCTTGATGTCATTGTGAGCTTTGCCCATGCTTCAATGCACGCACCCTCGGGATACGTTCGCCCAAAGATGCATCCCCGGGGAACTGGAAACACCGTTCTAAAAGAAGCTCGGCATCCCTGCATGGAGATGCAGGACGATATCTCCTTCATTACGAATGATGTTTCCTTGATTCGCGATGAATCATCTTTCCTTATCATCACTGGTCCTAACATGGGTGGTAAATCTACATACATCCGACAGATCGGTGTGATCGCCCTCATGGCACAGACCGGCTGCTTCGTCCCTTGCACCGAGGCCGAGCTGACCATTTTTGACTGCATTCTTGCTCGAGTTGGAGCCAGTGACTCGCAGCTCAAAGGTGTGTCAACTTTCATGGCGGAAATGCTTGAAACATCCAACATCCTCAAGTCCGCCACCTCGGAGTCCCTGATTATCATCGACGAACTTGGCCGTGGAACTAGCACGTATGACGGCTTCGGCCTGGCCTGGGCTATCTCAGAACACATTGTCACTGAGATCCGCTGCTTTGGCCTGTTCGCGACTCACTTCCACGAGCTCACTGCCTTGGCAGACCGTTATCAAAAAGCCGTCAAGAACCTGCACGTCGTAGCATTCATTGGAGACGGCAATGAGGGCGAGACTGAAGCTGAAACCGAGGAAAAGAAAAAGCGTCAAGTCACCCTTCTCTACCGTGTCGAGCCAGGAATCTGTGATCAGTCTTTCGGTATTCATGTCGCCGAACTCGTGCGCTTCCCGGATAAGGTTGTCAACATGGCCCGCCAGAAGGCTGAGGAGCTTGAAGATTTTACCTCGACAACTGAAAATGGGCAGGCACAGCTTCCTGCGCCCTCGCTTGACAAGTACTCCCAGGAAGAGGTGGAGGAGGGCAGTGCGCTCCTCAAGGGAATGCTGCTGAAATGGAAGGCGGCAACTGAGGGCAAAGAGATGACGGCAGAGCAGAAGCGACAAGTCATGCGTGATCTAGCTCAGGCTGATGAAAAATTGCAAGCAAACAAGGTGTTCCAGGGTATCAAGGCTCTATAAAGATGTGAGCTATTCATGGGATTTGGCGTTCATGGAAGGCATGGGTTTGAAAAAAGGCATTGTTGTATACTCATATTTTACATTTTAGGATGAAATAGAATCATATTTCCTACTACAATTCCTTCTGGATTCTTCTTATACATGTAGTTGCACTAAAGTAACCACCAAGGTGTCGTTATACTTCGAACACTCTAATGCGGAGGCCGGTCACGTGTAGGTCGGTCTAGACGATCGACGCGGGATTGGGATGAAGCAACTTCGTTCCAAAATCCAAGTGATCGTTCTTTTTATTGTCTCCAATTCGTTATTTTGAGGCTTAATCTTACAGCAAAATCTCAATCCTGGACCTGTGCTATCGTTGTGCCTCTAAAACCACCCTCGACTGCCTCACCTAGCTATGCGCGCAAACTAAACGCGGACGGCCTGAACCACCTCGATTCATGCACCCCTTTTCCGTCCTCACACTTGGGATCTTCGTCGCGGGCTATATTACCGCCAGGTGGGACCTTGTTACCCGTCTATACGAATTAGCCATCTTTGCCTGGGACCACGGTGTCGTGGTATGTCTTCCCTCGGCCATCGGTCCTTGACCCCCCCTCCGCTTGCGACTTTATCAGCCTGGTGCCAGCACACGTTATATCTCCCAACGTTACTAAATTTCTTATTCATTTAGACACGAACTGCGAAAGGATTTTTCTTTCTCTCCGTTTTCTTTTTCCTTCTCGTCCTGCCGATCAACCACCTCGCGTCTAAGGAGGGCCAATTGGTGAGCAACACCGAAACAACCAAAGCTTTAAGCAGCGGTCGAAAGACAAAGCGCTTGATGTTTGGCTTGGTTTGCTGACGAGACATATAGCATCCGCGCCACGTGAATCTCGGCGTCTCTGCGCGCGAACAGTTGCGCCGTCGAGGTTCCTTCTGAGACTTAGGTGGAGGATGACAATATGCTCATGGGCGATGGACTGTTGCGGGTATTCTGGCCATATGATCTCCCGCGGTCCTCATCACCAGGTGTGATTGTCGGATGGCGGAACTCGGAGCTTGATTTGTTTGTGCTCACGGTGCTGGAAGATGTCGAGGTATGTGGTTGCAATTGCCTTGTCTACTAGTTCGATATAAGCTGATCAGCCTTATGAATGAATAGCCTCGGAAAGTCGACAATGCTCTCCGGGCGGGAATTCTCTTTCGAAACAGCCCTCACCCAGTTGTGCGCATATTCACTCTATGTGGACGCTCTCAGATGCATGTCCTCGGCTCGGTCAACTCTCGCGAGTCTCCGACGTCTTTCAACCCTTCCCACCTTGATGTGACTACAACCTCATCCCCGAAAGCTCCTCGCATATTCTGCCCACCAGAGGCAAATCTGTCCGTCCAGGTTATCATGTACCACCGCCCGCACCCAACACGCATGGAATATATGTCACTCAATCCGATTTCGTTGGCCTTGGGTGATAAAGCGACAAATACGGAAATATGGGGTCCTTCGTCCGATAAGATCGAATCGGAGGAAGAAGGGGACAAGGCTGGACCCAAGTTGTTGGTTGAGAAGCTCAAGCTTCATACGGTCGTCAAGCACATCCCATCACAGAAGGAGCAAGCCCTCCCACTCATTATCAACCAAGTCAATTGCGCCTATGAGATGGGGCAGCTGATGCACAAAAATAGCCATTTGATTGGAATTCGTGCGAAGAGAAGTATGAGCGTCGGAGAACGTGTAGTGGAGTCGGCGACAACGTTATGGGGCTTTATTGTCCTCTGCATTGCCCACGTTTTCTGGCAATGGCTTTGGCCTGTCGTCACCCGCATCTTTGTCGTCGGGCTTGTATGCCACCGGTCTATTGCAGAAATCGTCTTGCGAGTTCTCGAGTGGCGTGCTCGGCCTGATGCTGCTGCTCTCAAGGATATCTCAGCAACAGCCCAACAAGTTGATATAAGGTTGCAGCAATTCTGCTACTGGCCGATTCAATATGTCAAGCTTCGTCAAAGAAAGGATAACTGGGAGAGTGTCACGACCAGTCATCCAGACTATATTCGGTTCTATAACAGCCTATGGCTTGTCGCCAACGATGTGATCATTGGGATTGCGCTGGGGTCCTATATTATTGACAACGCGAACTGGGTCGCTTCTCAAATTAACACTGTCTTGACCGGCTGGACGGTGGAGGGGTTACAGCGCACCATTTCGTGGTTAATGGATTGGCCAGCCGGCTTGAAACTCAACAATGAGCTTGCCGCGTTCCTCGGTGACTTGTTCCTGTGGGTCATTGAAAACTGGGCAGCTTGCATTGCCAACCTTCAACCATACCTTCCTGCTGTCATCTACATTGTTGGATGTTCTAGTTTTGCGGGAGCTAGTATGCCAATCGCTCTCTTCTCCGATCTTCTTTCGATCCTGACGGTACACATTTACTCCTTCTACATTGCCTCTGCTCGTATCTTCAACTGGCAACTCACCATTATCATTTCCCTTTTCCATCTTTTCCGTGGAAAGAAACGCAACGTTCTACGCAACCGAATCGATTCATGTGACTACGACCTCGACCAACTCCTCCTTGGCACTATCCTCTTCACAGTCCTATTCTTCCTACTGCCTACAGTTGTGGTCTTCTACCTAACCTTTGCCTCGGCCCGCATGTTAATTATTTCAATGAAGGCAGCGCTTGACACTTGCCTCGCGTTCTTGAATCATTTCCCGCTCTTCGCATTGATGCTCCGCGTGAAAGACTCACGACGGCTACCAGGGGGTATCCGATTTGAGCTTCGGAATGAACCAGACAAGAGCCCAACGGAAAAAGAGTCGTCTGCGCTGGTTTCTTACATCCACCTCGAGGTGTGTCTCCGAATTTAACCAAAACATTGCCTCAGAAAAGCTGACACAGATTATAGTCGATTCCCCTCTCCCTACGTGCGATGTTTGACCAGTACTTCCAGCTGGGCCACCGGCTCCGGAAACACTACCTCGCGCCTCGCGTCATATTCTGTCTTATGACCGGCCGCTTTGTGCCACCCATCCACCGCCGTAACCTGTATAGCATGCAGTATAGCATGCTACCTGCCCGTCGGGCTAGTATGCCAGAAGTGTGGACATTGCTCACCCAACCCAAGAAAGGCAGTAGTGGGACCAGTGGCTCTAGCTCTATGGGCGGAGGTATTGGATCCATGAGTAACCCGTTACCCAAGGTCCCGGCGAACTTTGGCCAGGGTGATCTTCGGAGACGGGGTCATCGTTGATATCAATCCAGCAGCTCCTCTTGTAAATAATGCCGATAATGTTTTTATCTTAAAATAATGTTCTTAATATTGTATTGCCTTGCCAGAGTAAAGTAGCATGTATAAAGACACCCCTGGAGTAGAATAGAGATATCAGTATATTCAGTTGAGAGGTGGGATATGCTATATAATACACAGAACGATCTCCAAAAGGCCACACCGTTGAACTCCCGTCCACGAAATTACATATTTTACATGGAAAATGCATGTTGTCGCTGAAAAGAACAAATGGCGCCAAACGCAGGCTGCTCCTACAATCATCCGCGAGGAAGAGGGAGTCACAGAGCCAGGCATCTGTCTTCAAGATTTCTTGAGGAATTCAGCGTCTGTTTCACTGCTGCCGCTCTTTCGGGCATCGTCCACCATGGCGTCAATGCCCCGTTCCTTGAGAACTTTCTGCAAGCATTACGATACCTTTGTCAGACAAATGGCACAACTCGGGATATATAGGGATATATAGAGGACATGGCACAGGACTCACATTCAAGCACCCCTTGTAGTCCTTAAATAATGCTTCACAGTCATTGGATGTAGTGTTGCCGCGTAGATATTCTGTTTTGGGATTAGCTGCTGTTTAGCCCTATTAGCGAAGGGCATAAATGCATACTCTCGCTATACCACTTGAGGAAGCAAGTGTCATATTTCCTGGTAGATATATTAGCTTTTGGTTGACATGTAGAAGCTGGATATGTTCACTACAACTCACTCTTTGATATCGTTACATTCGGGGGCAATAGAAGCTGCCATATTGGATATAATAGGAGATTGTTTATCAGATAATATCCCGCAGACTTTGTACTCTTCTTGCCAGGTCGAAATTTGAGTAATTTAGAGGAATGAGAGGAAAGAATGCGGTGACGACTCGAAGATCGGCGGAAGTTCATACAAATCTCGCCACTCTGGGAAGGCGGTCAGAGCGGGCCTACCATTTCTCCATTGTCATTTTCTCGCCGGGACTTTTTTTTCGGGACCTTGGATCTTCATGTCGCAGTGACTGCTATTCCGCGTTTCTTTCCGCTTTTCTTCCTTTCGCCAGATCCAGTGAACTGGAACTCTGCTAGTCATCATGGACTCTGCAGAATTTTCCCCGTTCCAGGACAAGTTAACCTCCGCTCTGGTGCAGGTAACTCGAACCGTCGGACAGCTCTCGTCAGAAGACCTGAACTTCCATCGCACCTCCAGCGCAGAGTTTTCCGAGTCGCTAGATGAACAGAGCGCGCGCATCATTGCGCTGACCTCCGCCGTTATCAAAGCTGCCACCGCCGGCACCGATGTGACCGGGCCTACCCTTCACGATGAGGATTCCGTCGAGGACAATTGGCGTGGCGTGGTGGATGTGATTGACTCGCTTCTGGAAAAGGCCGATGCCTGCTTGGATGAATTCACAGGCGTGATTAAGAAGCTCAGCCCTTCACAGGAAGAACAGGCACCGATCAAGAGAGCTCCCAACTTCCCGACTATTTACGACTATGGCCCCTCTAAGATCCCTAAGCCGCAATTGCTGTTCGATCGCAAACCGGATAACACTGACATGGGCCCCTTCAAGCCTCTTCTGAAGTCCAAGCCTCATGCGATTGTTCCGTTGGAAAAGTGCCTGAAGACGAAGAAGATGGAAGACAGAATTGGTTACCCTCACCCATACGAGGCAGAGATTCTTGCTTCAGAATACCCGAAGTCAGTCTACCAGGTTTCCCCACCGATTGAGTATTTGCCTTTCGAAAGCACCACGGCTACTTTCGTCGATACTTTGGATGGTGTCAAGGAAATGCTCGAGGAACTCAAAAAAGCGAAGGAAATCGCTATCGATTTGGAGCACCACGACGTGCACTCCTACCACGGTCTTGTCTCTTTGATGCAAATCAGCACCCGGGACAAAGATTGGGTTGTGGATACCTTGCAACCTTGGAGAGAAGAATTGCAGATGCTGAACGAGGTTTTTGCGGATCCAAAGATTTTGAAGGTCCTGCACGGTTCCACCATGGACATCATCTGGCTGCAACGTGACTTGGGCCTGTATGTGGTTGGAATGTTCGATACTTTCCACGCTGCATCTGCATTGGGCTTCCCGAAGCGAAGCTTGAAGTTCCTGTTGAGCAAGTTCGTTAACTTCGAAGCTGATAAGCGGTATCAGACGGCTGATTGGCGCGCTCGCCCACTTCCACCGGCCATGTTCGACTATGCCCGATCAGATACGCATTATCTTCTTTACATCTACGACCGCCTACGAAATGACCTGATCGACAACTCGACTGAAGAGGCCAGCCACATTGATTACGTTAACGAGCGGTCTAAGCATGAAGCTCTGCAACGCTATGAACGTCCTGTTTACGATGCCGTCAATGGACACGGCCCTGGAGGCTGGTACGATCTGTTGTGGCGCAATTCGGCCAATCTTCCCAAGGAGCAATTCGCCGTCTTCAAGGCTGTCCATCAATGGCGCGATGAAGTAGCGCGTGCTGAGGACGAGGGTTGGCAGTGCGTTTTCCCCAAGCATATGCTCTTCAAGCTTGCTACAATGATGCCGCTTGATATGGGATCTCTCTTCCGAACCCTGTCACCCATGACTCCCATTAC